CCATTGCAGCTGGACCAGCATGAGATGTCTACTATGAATGCTAGAAGTCGTGCCACATATTGCTCTGGATTGCGTAACATCAGTATGCAAGATGAGTTGTGATCTGCGTGTGTTGCCGAGCTGTCCGCGCCAGGCATGTCCGCCACCGGCGCGGAGATCGTCGAGCAGGCGATCAGGAGCGCCGATCCGCTTCGCGGGCGAGTTGGAACCAACATGGCCGGGGCGCTGCCCCACGTCATCGGCGTCGCGTTCGCCCGCCCAGTCTCGAGCGACACGGTGGCGCGCCCAGATCGGAGGCCATCGATGGAAAAAGACATCGCCGAGCGCTATCATCATCTCGCTGTCGCCTACACATCATCACAAAATCATCATGTGATCAGTGATTGTTTCTCTGGTTTGGCTCAAGGCAATGGTCCTGTATCTGTTGCGCTCGGTTGTGAGCCTGGTTGCTCAGGCCTCGAGGTTACTGGCGCGCTGAACTCGTACCTCGAGTCAGACGCAGACGTCGCGAGTCAGAGATTCTTCGGCACCTTCAGAGAGCTGGGTCAGAAAGTTTGGCCGGGTAGACTTGCACTCGCAGCTTTCCCCGCTGAAGCCGCAGAGGAGAGAGTGCGAGACGACGTGGGCGCGATCGTCGGTGATGACGACGTCGCTACAGTCTCTAAGGAAAGCCTGCGAGATGAAGAACAAGATATCCTGGATCAAATCAACCTACCTGGCGAGCCGAAACGCGGAGGACAGACAAGGAAAGCGCGGTTGCAAGTCCCTCTCCGCACAAGGGGCGCCATTAGACGACTGCACAGACAGTTTGGTCACGTGCCTCACCGTGTTCTCGTGCAGCTATTGAGAATATTCAGAACGTGGTCGGACTACATTGAAGCTGCCAAGAACTAACGTTGTGAGTCTTGCGAACATCACAAACCGTTAGCTCAGACCCACAAGGTTGCTTTGCTCAAGAAACTCTGCTTCAACCATGGAATCGGCATCGACTGTCTACAGGTAAAGGACAACAGTTGAGAACGCTACACCTTCTTGAACATAGCGCGCCAGGGTACAATACTTCAGCGCGTAATCTTTGTCAAGCAAGGAGGTGGCACGCCATCTTCGAGAGCATGCATCGCTGCGCTTCAGCAACACTGGCGCGCATGGGCAGGTCAGCCCAAACGAATGGTGTTAGACCGTGACCTGCGCAACACAGGAGTGTTCCTGCATTGGGTTGAGAGTCAAGGGATCGACTTTCGCGACGCCGGGGTCGGGTCTCCCGGGCAGATAGGCCGCACCGAGAGACATGGTGGAATTTGGAAGAACATCTTTAAGATTGTGGCACACGATAAGAATGTCGGCGGACTCGATGAAGTCATCTCTACTGCATCAGAATTTGACAGCGCGAAGAATGAGATGTCACGAGTCGGCGGATTTGCGCCTGCTCAGTGGGTAATCGGATAAATGCCTCGTGTCTCAGGGAGTCAATTCGACGACCAGGAAGCTTTCGACGAGGAGTGCTTGCGAATGTTTCAGAGGACGGAGCCGACGAGTTTTCTCGCCAGACTGCGATCCGGGCGTCTGCCAGAAAAGCATTCGCAGAACACGACGTCGGGAGTGGGACGGCAAGGGCCGCTCTCCGAAAAACAGCACCATTAGCTGCTTTCGCAAGAGGCCGACCGACGGCGAGGTTACCGCTAAGTGGAGCACTGGTTCTCGCATCGTTGGGTTCGATGGCGAGAAAGCATGGGTTATCACAGCGGGCGTGCCTTTCTGCCTGGCTGTCGACAGGTTTCGACCGTGTACTGCCGAGGAGGCGTTGGCATACCAATATCTCTCAAAGCGCCATGACGGTGCAGTCATTCGTGGACGAAAGACGCGAGCTGCCAGAGCCACGGGCGCAAGAGCATTCCGCATAAGAACATTTCTATGACGGTGGAAGAGCTGCCAGGGATCCCAGAAGACTCCGAATTCATAGTAGGAGCATCTCGCCAAATGGAAGAAGATGAACTGTCTGAATGGCCGTTCCTGCGCCGCCCACGACGAGATCACCACAAGTGACTCGGACGCCTCCAAAGAGGTCGTTGCTAGACGACGCCCCGCACGGTATACAGAGTCGTAAAGAGTTGGTGCGCAGAAGAGTCGAGAATGCCGATGGTCGCACGGGAAGGGTTTCCGATTCTGCCTCGGAGCCAGCCCCCGAATCGGCGAACCCGCTTCTTGAGGCCCTGCGCAGGGCCGGGACATCAGGGCCGGGCATGGATCTTCTAGCTCGCAGAGAAGCCTCATTCGCAGTTCCGCCACATGAATCGCTCGTCGGGTTCTTCAATGAACGCGCCGCTCATAAGCCGCAATCCAAGAAGAAGATGAAGAGTGCGAAGAAAATGGTACATCACCGAGAATCTGAGGACGTTAAAAGCGGCTTACGACTGGCAAGACAAGACGATTGGGGAAAATGGCAGAAGTTCAGCGCCGCCGTGCCTATTGATTCCGTGGAACTGCAAAACTCCCCGACGAAGGATACCGCATGGTACCTACGCAATGGATTGAGATTGGCAAGAATGAACATCTCCGTAGACCGGATGGACCTTCGGTTGCACCGCAGTACAAGAATAGACGTGTCGCGCGTGGAGATTTGGAAGCGTCGCTGGGCATCCGCACGGAGTCGCCAACATGCGAATTAGAAGGGCTAAGGTTGATATCATAATGGGCTGCCGGCACAAAGAAGACGCTTAAGTGCGCCGACCTTGAATCGGCGTACTTCCAGGGTCAGGAACTCGACCGCCTCATGCTGCTCGAGCCACCGCCCGGCGGACTCGAAGGAGTACCGGATGGTGGAGCACTGATCGCGCGCATGCCTGTCTACGGCACGCGCGACGCAGAACGAGGTTTGTGGAAACAAATCCGTAGAAGGTTTGAAGCTCATGATCGAAAGGAGAATCGTATCATGCCAGCTTCGTTCTGTATTCACAATGACAAGAATGAGATCACGTGCATGTTAGGTACACATGTGGATGACATACTGTGGGCTGCAGATGATGTAAGTCATATGACCATCGATTTGCTATGCGCAGAGCTTGATACTCGCGAGATCAGGTCGGATAAGTTCCGTCATTGCGGTTTCGAAGATGTGCAAGATGAAGATTTCACGGCGGGTACCACGGCCAAGGACAACATTGATAATATCGAAGCTGCATCCTATCCTAGAGACAGTTCCCCCACGAGAAGATGCAATGATGGCGAGACAGCACAGCCAAGATCGGTCGTAGGTGTTTTGTCATGTGCTACGAGTCAATGTAAACCTGAGCGATTGTATCGTGTGAGCAACTGCAGACAGCTGCGCTTCGCGCTCACGTACTCCATCTCGAATCAGCCAACCGCGGATTGGAAGAAGCAACTCAGTGCGCTGACTGCGGGTTAGAATTTACAAGAGGAGATGCTAAGTGAAAACAAGATCTGATAGTCCTTACTGTTACTGACGCCAGTTGGGCAGGAGAAGAGGATGTAACCAAGGGTAGAATCAAGCCTCTCAGATCACAGAGGGCTGGGTTCAATGGGCCCGCACGGCCTGGATTCACCGAAGGGGACAGTGATCATGTTCACCCTTTACGCATATCTTAAACATTAACAAACAGGTATGTAAGTCTACGCTACAAACAGAGACCCTGGCTTGTTTATGGGGTGTAGAATCTGGTGTGCGCATTCGCGCCGCCATCGCAGATGCGCGTGGGATGCTTGGCGCCGGAAAGAAGCTGCCAACCAATTGGGAAGACAAATGAGCCGTGTCTACGAGACCCTTAGGAAAAGCTTTGAAGAACACCTAATAGCCCCAACGACGGGTAAAACAGGATATAAGCGCTTGAGTATAGATTTTGGTAGTTTAAGACTGGATATTTTGACGAACGGAACGGCATATATATATATATATATATATATCCACGCATATTTTGTGATACGATCCGATGGATTGGTACAAGTATTATGGCTGTTGATTGTCTTTGAAAGAAAATGCCTAAGGATTTTCTTGTTAAGATCTTACGTACTAGTTCATATGACGTAACTCCAGACCCTGGATCTCTCTTAAAGTAGGTCAAGAAACAACTGGCGAGGGCCAGGGTGAATGCTATCCCATCGGGGAAGTGAGTGACTGAATCCTGGCTGCCTTTGGCTTGAGTAATCCCAACATGGGAGTATTCCATTTACTGCCCCGAGAGGCTTATTTAGACCAGCGGTACTGCGCGGTTTGACGGCTAGCTCGTGATAAAGTTTCACGGGTGTCATATAGTGCATGTGGGACGTTTGCATACGCACCACTCGCCGCCACCCGCCGCCGTTTGACCTCTAGGGGCCACTTTTCTGCCATTGCGCTAAAACGCAGCATAATCACGGCAATGGTGAAATTCAGCGAAGCACCCGGCCCGCCGTACAAACAGGTTTGGTTGAGTGGCGCTGGGGAGTTAATGTATGAGAGAAGGTGATGGGAGATGGCCGTTTCGCCCGTCGAAGCCAGCATGCCTCCACGTTGCCTAACATGATCTATGGGCGGGCGAAGGAGGGGGAGAAGAGGTATGAGGAGACGTGAGGCACACATGAAACGAACATGCGTATTACGCAGAGGAATATACGTCTAGGGGGGGGAGAGAGAGAGAGAGAGATGGATATAATGAATGCAGGAATGCTGGGAAGAGGAGTGAGAGTTGCACTGGGAGGAGGAGGAGGAGGAGGAGGAGGAGGAGGAGGAGGAGGAGGGAGGGAGGAGGAGGAGGAGGAGGAGGAGGAGGATGAGAGGAGGAGGAGGAGAGGAGGAAGAAGGAGTAAGAAGAACAATAAGAAAGGAGGAGGAGGAGGAAGAGAAGGAGGAAAAGAGAGAGGAGGGGAGAGAGAGAACGAGGGCAGCATGAGGAATGATGATGAAGAGAAGTAGAAAAAGGAGGAGGAGGACGAGGAAGGAGAGGAGGGGGAGGAGGAGGGGAGGAAGGGAGGAGGAGGAGGAGGAGAGGAAGAACCCCCACCATGAGGCGGTGCACGAGCACGCGCCGCTCAGGGGCGGCGTGCCCGTTTTCTCTGGCCCCGTGCTGGTGTGGTGCAGCCCCAACGCGGCGTGCCGCGGGGGGGGCGAAAAAAGGGTCCTCGCCCCTCCCCTCCTGCTCCTCCTCCTCCACCTCCTCCTTCTCCTCTTCCTTCTTCTTCTTCTCCTTTCCTCTCCTCCTCCTCCTCCTCCTCCTCCTCCTCCTCCCCGTGAAACTCTCACTCCTCTTTCCCAGTATTCCTGCATTCATTATATCATCTCTCTCTCTCTCTCTCCCCCCCCCAGAACGTATATCCTCCTCCTCTTCTCCTCCTCCCCCTCCTTCTCCCTCCTCCTAGCTCCTCCTTCTCCTCCTCCTCCTCCGCCTCCTCCTCCTCCTATCCTCATCTTCCGTTTTCTCCTCCTCCTCTTTCGCTCCTCCTCGTCGTCCTCCCTCCCCCTCCTGATTCCTCTGCTCCTCCTCCTCTTCTCTCCTCCTCCCTCCTCTCCTCCTCCCCTCCTCCTCTCCTCCTCCTCCTCCTCCTCTCCCTCCTCCTCCTCCTCTCCCGCCTTCTCCCCTCCATCTCGTCCTCCTCCTCCTCCTCCTCTCCCCTCCTGCCTCCTTCTTCTCCTCCTCCTCCTCCTCCTCTCCCTCCCTCCTCCTCCTCCTCTCCTCCTCCTCCTCCTCTTCTCCTCCTGCTCCTCCTCCTCCTCCTCCTCCTCCTCCTCCTCCTCCTCTTCCTTTTCCTCCTCCTCCTTTTCCTCGTCCTCCTCCTTCTCCTCGTTCTCTTGAGTTCCTTGGTTCCTGGTGGCGTTCGGGTCGTTCCCACGCCGTCTCCCCCCCCCTCCCCCCCCCAGAGGCCGTTGCCTTTGAGGGGAGTCAAAAAAAGCAGCTCGAGTTCGCGCCGCGTGCGGAAAGGGGGGCGAGTCGTGCGCGCGCGTGCGTCTGTAGTCCGCCTTGGCGGCGCGCGACGGGTGGCGCCCGCTGCCCGCCCGCGCTGCCCGGCGCCACGGGGCGGTCATCCTGTTCTTGGGTGCGTTTTTTGAGCTCGTTGATGTTGCTCCTGGTGGTCAGGATGGTGGCCCGCAGCTGGTTGTGAGCGTGGGTGAAGACCGCGGGGTAGTATCCCGCCTGGTCCGGACGGCCTCTAGGCCGAGGAGTCCAGACTGCACGTCTCGAGGTAGTGTGCGCCCTCGGCGATGTGGCCGTAGTTGTACTGGGCCTCGATCTCACGCTTGTGGTCGCGGTAGTCGTTCTCCTGGGCCTCGGCGGCCTCTTGGGACGCCTTTTCAGCGCGCCCGAGCCTCGCGACCTCTGCGGGAGCCTCGTAATAGGGCCCCTCGAGGTTGGCCAGGTCTGCGCCCCCCCTGGCCGTATCTGTCAGGAGGCAGCGCGTTGGCCCGTGGATGGTGGCGCCTTCTCGTGGCAGGCGTCGCACACTGGCCCGTGGGCCGTCGTGCCTTCTGCGGGCCCGGGGGCCGCGTCCTTGTGGCTTGTGCCAGGTCCTCCTGCGCCCTGGAGCGCCCTCCTTCGAGGTGCCCGCCGTGGACAGCCGTGGAGGCAGCCCGGGCCTGGTTGACAACGCTGTGCTGGTTGTTCAGCTGTTCCTGGCCCTCTGGGTTGCCGCGCTGGCTCCCGAGGCGGCGCTGCTGGCCCCAGTCGTGGTTCTGCTGGTGCTCTGGGCAGCAGCGCTCGTCCTTCGGGTTGTCTTGGGAGAGCCCGGCTGAGGTCGCTCTGGTGGTGCTCCGGCCCGTGGGCCGTCGTGCCCTCTTGGGGCCCGTTGGCAGCGTTCTGTTGGCTTGTGCCAGGTCCTCCCCTGTCTTCGGGTCTGCCGGCCTCCCGGGGCCCGCGCTCTGGGGGGCGCCTTCGGCCCCCCTCTCGCAAGGTGCCCGCTGTGCACTGAATGGCGCAGGCAGCCTGTGCCTTGTTGACCTTGTGCTGCTTGTGCTCTGGGTCGCTCTGCGTGTTCTGGTCGTCGCCCTGGCGGTCCTCAAGTTTGCCGCGCTGGTTTCCGAAGCTGCCTTGCAGGCTTTGGCCGTATTTGTGCTGGCACTCTAGGGAGCTCTGCTCGTTCTTGCTGCTACCCTGGAATGCCTGCTTGCACTCGGTCTGGCGGTTCGCGCCGGCCTCGGGCGGCTGGCTTGGGGTGCTCCGGCGGGCGCGTGACTCCGGGGAAGACAACGGCACCGCCGGTACGGGGATTAGGCTGGTGGCGACGTTGGCCAAGAGGGCCTGGAGCCTTTGCTGCATTTCACTCTTGAGGGCAGCTGTCTTGGCGTCGAAGATCTCCGTGGCATTCGTGGTGGCAACGAAGGTGGGCAGGAAGGCTGGTGCTTCCCTGCACAGGCCGGTTGTCTCTGGCCAGTGGGCTGGTGCTTCTTGTGGCCCGTGGGCCAATGCAGTCTTTTGGCTTGCGCAGGATCCTCCCCCGTCTTCGGGTCTATTGGCCTCTCGTGGCCAGCGCCTTGTGGGTGCCCTGGATCCCCCTCTCTTGAGGTGCCCTGTGTGGACTGAGCTGCGAAGGCAGCCGGGGCCTGCTCCTCGTTGCGCTGCTGGTGCCCGTAGGAGTTCTTCTGGTTCTCGTAGCCCTGCTGGTTCCAGTCGTGGCGCTGCTGGTTCCAGTCGGAGTTCTGCGTGTCTCAGTTGGTGTCCTGCAGGTTCCAGTTGGAGCGCTGCTTGTTCCAGCGGAGGTTCTGCTGGCCGTTCTGGTCGTTCCGGGTGCGGCGCTGCGCGTCCAAGAGGAGGATGAGGTCTTTGGTGTTTCTGGGGGTCTTCTGCCTGATGGAAAAGGGCATCCTGCGAGCAGCGGCCCGCTCGTGGTGGTAACATTTCGGCAGCGTGCCGATAACCTCGTAGCCACTGTAGTCGACATCGCCGGCGTAGGTCTCGGTGCCGCGCGTGGGCCCTGCAGTCGGGGGCTCCACGCCGTTGGCCGTTGCGCGGGGCCGGCGGGCGCCGCGCATGGCCATCCGCCCCCGTTCAGGCCCCCCGCGAGAGGCTTCGGCATTTCTCCTTCTCCTCCTTCTCCTCCTGCTCCTCCTGCTCCTCCTCCTCCTCCTCCTCCTCCTCCTCGTCATCATCATCATCATCATCATCATCATCATCATCATCATCATCATCATCATCATCATCATCATCATCATCATCATCGTCACCACCATCATCATCATCATCAGCATCATCATCATCGTCATCATCATCAGCATCATCAATCGTCATCGTCATCGTCATCGTCATCGTCCTCGTCATCATCATCATCATCATCATCATCATCATCATCATCATCATCATCATCATCATCATCATCATCATCATCATCATCATCATCATCGCTCCTCCTCCTCCTCCTGCTCCTCCTCCTCCTGCTCCTCCTGCTCCTCCTCCTCCTCCTCCTCTTTCTCCTCCTCTTCCTCATTCCCCTCCCCCTCCTTCAGTTGCCATCTTGGCTCGATCGCGCAGCAGCGCACGCGCGAGCGGGCACCCCCCCTTCACGAGGCGTTTTGGCGCGTCGTGCGCCAGCGGACGCCCTGCAGCCGCGGCGCCGCCCTCGCGCCCGCCATGCCGGGGCGCGGGCGCGCCTCGACTGATGACAGAGGTCATAGCGATGATGCTGGCCACGATGCGAAGAGCCGCGGAAAGAGCGCGCTCGAGCCGAGCGTGCTCAATGCGACGCCCTGCAGCATGATGATCGTTGGAAGCAGTTCCACCCTGGGATTGCGACCACCTCGGGGAAATCCGCCGCCGCCGACGCGCCGATGAATAACTATATAGATGAGACGCTCAACGCCATCATGGAATGCGAAGCAGCTTTTTTACCAGGGGGCGGAGCTCAAGCGCAGCAAGGCCACCAATAACAAGCTGTAGCAGGAGCAGGAGGACATCAAGAAGCCGGCCCAGGTTTTCCGGGACACCCTCGCAGCTGCGGAGGCGCAGATTCAGGGCCCCGTCGACCCTGTCGAAGTTGGCGGAGTGGAAATTGCCGACGGACCCCGCCCTCTTGGTCATTTCGCGCGAGGTTCTTGCTGTTCCCAGAGATGCCATGGTTGGGCTGGAAAGTTTGTTGCAAGCTGCCAGCGTGGCTTGCGACGAGGCCGAGCTCGTCGGTGACGGCGCCCAGAAGCGGTTCCACCTCCTCTATCCTGGCGGCGCTGCGGGGGCCGTTCGGGCGAGCGCCTTCCAGACGGCCCTCGAACTTACCAGCGGGCAAGAATGAGGACTCTGAGCGGTTGGATCATTTGCAGATACCTCAGTTTCCGCGCGCATCAACGGCGACAGAAACGGCCCTGACATCCGGCGCGAAGTTCAAACACAGGAGTTATTTGGATTGGTGCGAGAGGCAGCATATCAATACCAATGCTGGGCGAGGAGCCCGAAAATGACTGGCGCACGTGGCTGGCGCAGCGACTGCGGAGACGAAAGTTCAGGGCCCAGACGGTTCATCCAAATTTGCGTGGGACGTGGCTACCGCAGAAAGGTTCAACATCGACTGGACAGGCACGAGCTCCAAGTTCCCAGAATTACGGTGCGAAGTGGACACGCCAGGTCGGCCCCTAATCAGAGGCGGGCACCGTGGGGACCCGCGGCATCAACGACGGACTTGGGCATCGATGTCCACGCGGAATGCACGCGGGCCCCTCGCGCTGAACAGCGCAGGTCGGAGGCGCAAGAAGCTCGGCGCGGTGGCGGAGTTGTCCCGCCAGAGGAGCGTCGTCGCGACTTCGGAAACGCACGGCTGTGACGGGGCCCTTGAAGAACAAACTCAACCAGCATTGCAAGCATGCCAAGCTTTGTCAGCAGTCATCAATGAAAAGGTCAGGAGATGGCGGAGCGACAGCCCGCATCCCCCGGCACGATGACCGCGCAGTCTCAGCTGCAAGAGAAAGGGGCTTTCCTTGAAGTGCGCCCTCGCGAACTGGGCGCGGTCGCGCTATTGTCGCCGCGGCCGCGCTCCCCAGCGCAGGCTGCGAGGTCCATATGATGGGCGCGCGCGGCTTCGAGCAGTCCGCGGCGGGCGCGGGCGCCGCTCGGAGGGCCCGGCGCAGCGGGGGCGCCGCGGGCCCACCGAGGCCCTTTCCATCGAACGTCCGCGGCGGCGGGTGACTTCGACGCGACTGGCGCGCCCGCGGAGCCCCGCGTCGCCCGCGCTGCCGCGACGAGCGTGGCGATCTGATGCCAGGCGCGACACTGCCTCAGAGGTCTCTGGCGCGAGCTATTCAACGACCCGCGCGCGTCGGACATTTGCCCGCCGCCCCCCGCGCGCTTCGCGAAGCGCAGAGACGGGCCGCGCGCGACAGACAGGTTCACCCCCCTGAAGCCGCCCCTTGCCACAGAGGCAGAGCGCGGCACCCGGGCGCTCTTCGACGCGGCGGCCCTCGACGCAAGAGGCCGAGCGACGTGCCGCGCTGAAATCGAGGTTGCAAGCTCGCCAAAGGGCCCCTGGACCCGATCAAAATATACCCGCCTGCGTTCTCAAAAGCCAGGCGCTCCGACGTATATCGTGGAGAAGCCCGGAAGGGGCACGTTTCGAATGCGCGCCTAAATATGAGGAGCGGGAAGTTGATCGAGGATGCCCCGACTGCTGCTGCGGCAGCTGCGCGGAATGAGCCGCGGGTAGAGGGCGCGGCCTTCGACTCCGGGATCGGGGCGAGAGCCAAGCCGTCGACCCTCAGCTCGGTGCCTCGGGCGGTCTGGGGGCGAGACGCTCGCCCCGCGCGGCGCCTCAACGACGAGGCCGTCTTCGGGGGCAGCGGTGCGAAGGGTCGTCGGCCGCGAAGCGCTGCTGCAGGGCGCCGCCATTTCTCGTTCTCGGGCCCTGGGGGGCCAGGCTGCGCCGCCGGAACCGAAAGCTGTCGCCCCCCCCCCCCCCCCCCCCATCGGCCGCGAAAGACGCCCCCCCGATGCGCTTCGCCGAGGCGAGGGATCAAGAGAGAACCGCTGTGGAACCCTTCCAGGAGAATGCCGATCCTCTCGTGCACCGGGCGAGCACGGGCGCGCGGCAAGACGGATTTGAACTGCGAGACGGCCCGAGAGCCCGCGCCCCTGATCAGCGCGTCCATGGGCCGCCGGCAGCTCGGCTTCACTGCTGGCCCAGTTTAGGAGCATCTGATTGCCCCGTCTCTGGACGCAGATGCCCGCGATTGATCGCACTCAGCCGCCCGTTCCCTCGCTCGAGGATTTGCGTCGCGCCCCTGAGAAGGCCGGGGATTCGGCCACGGGGACCAATGGGCTCTACGCCGGGGCCTGGAGAGGCCATCCGACCCCCGCGGGAAGTTTTGCGCGGCGTCCTTAAGAAGGAGAGCGTCAGCCCCCGCGCTTCTTCGCCAGCCCCCCTGCTCTCTCCCGAAGGGCGGGGGGGCGTCTGGCCCAGTTAACTGCGCGCGCGCCCCTGACAGCGCTAGGCCCTTGGCCCGCAGGAGCTCCGACAGCCGCGACGTCGCCGCGGCAGTGGCTTCGATGAAGGCTGCCTTCCCCGCCCGGTTTGTCCTCAGACGCGCGGTCGCGCGCGTCGGCCCCCCGCCGTCGCGCGCGAACCCTCTGACTGGGCTGGCGCGCAGGGCGCCGGGGCTCGCGCGCGGCCCCCTCCCTTTGCGCCGCGGCCGCTGCCTCTCTGCGGCCCCCCTGCACCCCGGTAGCCTCTCTCCGCCGTCTTCTCCGCCTCCTCCACCGCTGCCTTCTCCACGCCGCCGGCAAAGCGAGCTTCGCCAGTCTCGCATCACCCGCGAACGCCGGGGAGAGCGGCTTTGAGCGGGGGGGCGCGCCCTATGCCCCGCGTGGCGTCTGCCGGGGCACGGTGGCGGAACGCGGCGGCAATCGCCTCGCCCTCGCCCGTCGGCGCTCGGCCGTCTGGGGGCCCTTCTGGGCCGCCTTGGGGCCCTCTTGGGGGCCTCTTGGGTTGTTTTGGGGTGGTCTTCAGGGCCTCTTGGGCAGTCGCGGAGCGCCCTGAAGCAGAAATGGCGAAAACGCCAGAAACCGTCGAAAACCAATCGTGGATCAATGATTTGTCCCCCTTGGGCCCCTCTTCGGAAGCCGTTTGGCGGGTTCCTGGGGCGTCTTGGAGACCTGTTGGACCATCCTGGAGCCAGCGTGGGCGTCTTGGGGCGATCCTTCGGCGACTCGGGAGTCTCGGGCCGTCTTCGAGGCCTCCCGGAGCCTTGTTGGCCCGTCTGGAGGCCCTCCTGGGCCCGGAAGCATCGCGCGAAAAGACGCGCCAGATCCCCGACAAGCCGCAGGAAACCTGGGTAGATTTGGACATGTCGGTCTTGGGTCCTTAACAAATCTTCTGGAGCGAGGAGTGAGGCTCAGAGGATTAGGCAAGGGACCTGAGGACACTCCCTCTCCGTGCCAACTGGCACGGTGGCAAATCAGAGCTGAATCCAGACCATAGTAGAATCCGATCAGAGTTGGATCGAGCACTACTAAGGTCCGATTCGAGCTGGATCCTGCCCATAGTTAGAATCTACTCAGTTGGACAGAGCCCTTCTAGGATTCTATTAGAGCTGGATACAGCCCCAGTAACAGGATTCGATTAGAGCTGGTCGTGCCTTTTTAAGGATTTCACCACATGTGGATACAGCCCTGGCTGGACCTAGCCGTTGTAGGATTCGGTTCGAGCTTGATCGAGCCCGAGCGAGATCCTATTAGAACTGGATCCAGCCATAGTGGCAGGATTCGATTAGAGCCCGCTCGAGCCCCCTTCCCCCCTTCCCGGTTCGAATCCGCGGGGGGGGAGGGGCAGAACCTTCCCCCCCCATCCCGGTTCCAGGGAGCCCCGCCCCCTTCCGGTTCTTGGGGAAGGGGGGGTTTCTGTTAACCACGCTTTCCCTTCCCTATTTCCTGGAAGGGTAGGTATCTGTGCCCAGTCAGGCGCCGATAGATCGCGCTCTCTCACACAATTCAACATCCATTGGGGTCCTCGACGTCTCACAAAGGCTCGGATCCACTGTTAGAACAAACCATGTTTTTATTTCCACGCGAGCAGTTGCATGATCTCTGCGCGCACATTCGCTATAGCCAGACGCAAAGCATTAGCGCTTAGCCGTCCTGTCAAATGGGGTTTTCCCAAAAGTGCCTCGCCTTCGAGGACCCAAGGAGTTGTCATCTCTTCCGCGGCGGTAGGCGGCGGAAGTTCGGTGGAAGTAAAACGAGGCCGCCTCCGCGGGCGGAAGCCGACGGAAGCAAGTGGAAGTTCGGCGGGAGTAAAAAACGTGTCCAAAGGATGAACACGCATTTGAGTTCAGGCTTTCCGGAGTCGCCCAAATTGGAGCATGCGGGCCACCAGTGCGCGAATGTTGAACGTTAAACAACCATCACCCGCCCACCAACCAAGTTTCAGATGAGACCATGCGGGCCACACACGCGCGCGCTTCCGCTCCGCACGCGCGCTCGTCGA